AGCAACGGGGCATACGAGTCATGTAGCAACCAATCAGATTCAGTCATGATTTTAGCACGACATTTCATACCTCGATCCCGCAAATTTTGCTATTAAGGTAGCAATATCCGTCTATTGAGCGTCTAGGCCTTGACGATCTGCCGGCTAAATAACGTCTAGTTCGGCCAAAATAGTCGTCTAATAGACGTATATTTTAGTCGTACTTAGCAATCGGCGATAATTACGGTTTACGATCGCCGCAGGATCCCTTTACTTCGCGAGCGACTCCTTTTGCACTTTTAACCCCGAGTCGACTTGTAGTAAGTTGAAGTCGAAAGTCTTTTATTATTAGAAAAGTTTATTAAAAAATAGGAAAAACAAAACAAAAAACGTTTTTGTATAAGGGCGCTTCATGAAGTAGTTTTCAGTCCAGTGTTTATTACGGTGCCGTTGATGGTTTGGCTTTGGCGCCTAAAGGCCAGCAGTACTTTAAGAAGTTGTAAGTGTACTTACCACTTGTCTTATTCTCTTTCTCCCCTTGGCAACATTCTGATTGTGTGTGTCAAGCATGGCCTCACGCCTCGTCCATATTGCATTGTCTAGATAGGATAGCTTGTATTTGCCCTCGGTGTTCCAAGTCTTGAATACTTCTAAGCATATACAGTTAAATAGTTAATTGGAGACATACCCGGTACGACGTCGTAAAATTTTCACTTGTATATAGGCATTTTATTATTATGGCCCTTAAAGTTAATTAAGTCTCTTATTTCATCCTCAAAAATATGCCAGCGCTACGTTGCCATGTACCTGCGCCCCCCTTTAAACAACCATTGCATGCAAATTTTCTGTCTTGCCAAACCCTAACTTACCGGGAAGCTTTACTCAGAGAATTGATCCTTTTTTTCTTGTTACCGTCACCCATGTAACAACCAACGAAGTCTATATGTTTATGCTCTCGACTAAACTAGCTCAATAAGTTCTTATCTTGCCTGGTGCCATGTCTCCTGAAGATAATTGTCAATACTGCTACTTTTAAAACCGAAATTTACGCACATTTCTCATGCCTCTAATACTTCCGAAGCTACTTTATGCCGTAAAAATCCTACGAATATATAGTTTTACTTACCACTTTCAGACAAGCACAGTAGCTGCCCTTGTTTTCTAACCGCTTTTTTTGTCCTTATTCACTGATACCAGTAGAAATGCACATCCATGCCGGATACTGACTGTTTCGCAATATTCCACGATTTGTTTTCATTTTGCCTCGAAATAGGGATAACATTTCCGATGATAACATTTTCGGTTTCACAAAACCTTACTTCATGGCATATAGTTGCTAATCCAGTCTTTCTATGTAACAGTTAGCTATTATCTTGTCTAGTATGATTGTAACCCTCAGAAATGTCATTCGAAGAATCTTCGCAATATTCTAACTCTATCTGATTTTTTGGTTACGTAGTTAAACATTTCGAAATTTCTGTGAATGTTAGGGGTATCCTGTGTTAGTAAATTATCTTTACACGAAGACCAATAATTTTTACATGTAAGTTAACATTTTCAACACAAACTTGTTACAACAGAAACTATTACATACAGCTGGTATTCTGCTGTGCACTTTTGTTCTCGTTCTCTGTTATTGCTGTCCAACCGTGTGTTGATTCAGAAACAGTAAGCAATAAACCGGTTCCCATGGAGGAAAGGAGAATCTCCTTCACGCTGGCTATACGAATTCAAATTCGACTATTCAACTGCTCAGCAATAACACGAAGCTGAAATCCATCTATTTTTTTAGAACCAACCTTTTGAAAAGAAAAAGAACACCAACGTTTTAGTGATTTTGCAGCTTTCTGTCACCTAGTCGGTTGACATCGATGGCTAGAAAATTTGTTCGACTTATTCTTATTGACCCACTGTCACTACACTCGTGAGTTTGCTATAAAAATTGGCACAAGTTCGGTAGATTGCGGTGGACTGGCGAGTATGAATATATGAGTCTCCATTCGGATTCGATGCATAGGCAACAGAACAGTTGTTGCGGTTATTTTTTTATCGGAACAAAATGCCCGCCAGTCTTTGCATGCAAAGACCTACTCGTTCATATTGACAGACAACATATCCAGACACTAGCTCTTTTTATGTGGACTGCAAGTCTCTCTGAGATGCGAGTATTAGGCTGGAGGTTTATGCTGTAATAACTGTGCGCTACTCCTGCAAAATTTACTTTTACCGAATATACCAGTAGAAGTTGTAGCGTAGTGCCAATAAGTGGTATCATTCCAGTTATATATAAAACGCGTTTGTTTCATATTCGTCCGTCTCGTTCGAATTGCGTATGTCATATATGAGGCACCAGATTAAAACTTTGTTGCAATTCGAAACCACTTGTATTATATGAGAATGCGGGCTCACCTAGGAGATGTCTCAGTTCGTGGCCGCTCCTTTGTTCGTGTATTTTATTTGTCGCTTTTTCTTTCTGCTGCTTTTTGTCACCCGTGATGGCTGAATCAGACGTGAAAATTTTGCCGTTTTAGGAGTCGACGAGGAGGATCCTCAATGAATTTATAATTGGTGGATTGGTCGGTTTCTGTGAGGACTGTGGGCCGCTTTTCAACTGTGAACCTCTTCCTCATTCGAAACTTGCCTGCAGATGCAAGGAGTTCACACTCTTTTGCTCCTGACCCTTGGGCTCCCCATTTTTCTTCATTACGTCCTGATCTTTGCGGATTATCGTAAACACGCTGAAGGTCAGGCTCTGAAGCTTCGTCAGCGGCGTAGTCTTCCCAATCCCCCCATCCCGGATGAGTTCTATGACCGCGTTTTTTGGTTTATGCAGGTAGGCCCGTTAGTAATTTTTTCACGTCTCTAAGGTCTCGGATATACACATTAGCAAATTTTCGGACGCTGAACGAAGCGCCGATCTGTTCAAGCTATGCTCCGATTACGTTCCAATTATTCTGCCAGATATAGTTATCGTTTCAGGTAGGCCTGTGTTTTCATATATGGATATGTGTTAGGTGACATAACTGATGCGAAACTTCAGAACCGAGCTGGTTCAATGCAGTTCTCCGAAGAGTGGACCGTTTACAAAGATGTTATTAAGAGATCTGGCGTTCTTAATTACACAAAGTGGCTCGATATGCGTGGAAACCATGGTGAGCACAGTTTTCTCCTTTAACTTTTGACTTTTAGATGCTTTCAATGTCCCATCCCCCGAGCATGCGGAGAATTACTACAGGTAAGCGCTGTCGAACGTTTGCGTCAAGTCGTAAACCGTTTCAGGCCTTGGAGAAGTCTAGTGCCTGCTTTCATTCATATTTTGCTTATTTGATCTCCTTTTTATTCCTCCCAAGGTTGTAGAAGTACAGTGCGGTCGAAATTTCATGCAAAATGCCCAAATTTGCGAAAGATTTATAATCACATACAGACTGGTATTAACGCATATAAGAAAACTTTGAAATAATAACGATCAACCTTGGGCGTAATTTTTACTCAAAAGAAGGGGAAAGAAATTCTCCCTAAAAATAGTTCGTTTCCGCAGATGTGAAAAATAGCTATAAATTAAACTGATAAATTTGAATGTAAACTTCAGGTGAATGCATAATCATACCATTTTCTTTATATTGAAAGAACTATTCTTAAGTCAATTTCCTTTATGCATATTTCAGTTATTGGATTACAATTAGTTTAAGGTCATCCTTTAAATTCTGGCAGATTTTCGACCATTTCAGTATTTTCTAGCTCTCTTCCATAAATCCAGATTCCGTTCGACGTTTAAATGGAAACACTTAAATTAAGATATTTCCTAAAGGCATTTACCAAAAACATGACTCTTTGGATATCACTTTTTATGAAGATGACAAAGTGAGCCGTATTTATCCACTGTCCAAATTATCAGAACACATTATCGAGGAAAATGAATGTCCAAAACAGGAGTATGATATTGTTTTGCCTAAGATAAATTTTAAAAAAGCCTTCTATAATATGTCACCTCTTTAGAACGCGCTTTAATTAGATATTTAGTTGACGAATATCTGTTCATGTTACCTTTTTCCAAGGTAATGTCAGAGCAAAAATGGAGGTTTTTGACCAGTTTTTTAATTTACCTGAAAATAAATGTTAACATTATAACTGGAAATGAAAGAACTCACTTCTTCTCTTTTAACTGAAGTATTTTTCACTTAGATCAAAATAATGTGACCAAATGTATGCTTGACTATCAAGTCAAATTTTGACTGTGAATTTTGCATAAATTTTCAATCGCAGTGTATGTTAAATAAATATGGTCCACTGACCTTTGTCTCGCCCTCCTGCATTTCCTACGAACTTGGACTTGAGTTTGACAAGAATCGTTAGGAACACGTAGCTTATTAAAAATTTCAAACGCATTTTTATTGCTTTTTATGAATGCCTATGGAGTGCATACCTATGCGTTGCGCCCTCAGTACGCATTTGGAGATCAGTGCTTTGACTCGCCCGGAAAGCACCTGTTTTCCAACTATTGGGCCTCCCTATATTGCTTTAAGATGTGTTTTATACCGCCCATTTTCTTTTTCCTTAGCTTCTTCTGACTCT